AGCGCGTCCCCTTGGCACGTCCCGCGGTGCGACCCCATGGCACGTCCCCTGGCACGTCGCCTGGCGCATCCCTTGGGACGTTTCGCGGCGCGTCCTCCTGGCATGTTCCCCTGTCCATTAGCTCTGGGGCAGCTACTATGTGTTCAGGCAGCTCGAGCTTAAGATCCAGATCAGTTCGGTCAGGACTCGGATGCAAAGGAGGACTCGATCCACGAGGCTATAGAGCACAGTCGCGCCATGGCACATCGCAATTCAGCACGGCGCAGCACAGCACAGCCCTCGGCAGGGTACATCAAGATCGATACCTTCAGTATTGCATTTGCCCGTCACCCAATCAGGTGTCTTTGAAAACGCTGCCATGTGTTACAGTTCTACATTCCTTTCCGGGTTCGTGGGTCGATCATGTTTTTGAGGATGTCCCGAGCGAAACGCTTATTGTGCAGAATTGGTTGAAGATGTCTCGAGCGAGACGCTTGTTTCTGTTATAGATGGTTTGCTGTGTGAGGATGTCCCGAACGAAACGCTTGTTTTTCCCGGAAAGGGCTCCGGCCCAGGGTTCTCTTTTAGTTGGTTAACCCCCGGCCCCTATGGGAGGTGGGCCGGCGGAATTGATCTGCGATCAACAACGAAGTAAAGTGTGAATTGGCAGTTGAACACGTGCGTTTTTCGCGTGCCCGCTCGAGGACAATTTGCCCCCCATTTCGGATCCTCGATAAATAACGGGGTCCGCAGACCACCGCTTTCCTTTCAAAAAAAAGCGCGGTGCATTTTTAGCAAAATCTTTAAAACAAAAACAACTCCGAGGTCTGGAGCCCCGACCGCGACGCGGAAAAGCGTCCCGCGCGCAGGAATGTTGAGGATGTCTCGCGCGTGCAGCGTCCCGCGCGCAGGAATGTCGAGGATATCTCGACTAATTCGTTTGTTTTGTAAGATTTCCTGGGCCACACAAGGGTTATCTAACATGTTCTGTCCGAGCTGGAACCACGTCGCTTCACGTGTCCAGGGCACACAAGTGGGTATCTAAAACTGTGGTCCCGAGCTGGTACCACGTTAACGTTAACCCGTGTCCAGGCCACACAGGTGGGTATCTAACATGGTGGTCCCGCGCTGGAGCCACGTGTTTTCACGTGTACAGGCCACCCATGTGGGTATCTAACATGTTGGTCCCGAGCTGAAACCACGTGTTTCACCTGTCGAGACCACTCAGGGGGTGTCTGAGATGGTGGTCCTGCGCTGGAACCACGTGTTTTCACGTGCTCAGGTCGCCCAGAAGGTGTATCTAACATGGTGGCTTCGCGCTGAAACCGCATGTTTTCACGTGTCCACGCCACCCAAGGGGGTATCTAGCATGGTGGTCCTGAGCTGGAACAATGGTTTTTACGTGTCCAAGCCACCCATGCATGGGGTACTGTATCTAACACGGTGGTCCCGAGCTGGAACCACGTGTTTTCACATGTCCAAGCCACCCAAAAGGTAACTAACATGGTGGTCCCGCGCTAAAACCGCATGTGTTCACGTGTGCAGGCCACCCAAGTGGGTATCTAACATGGTGGACCCGCGCTGGAGCCACGTGTCTTGATGTGTCCACGCCACCAAAAAGGGTACCTTGTATTGTGGTCCTGCGCTGGAACCGTATGTTTTCACGGGTCCAGGCCACCCAAATGGGTATCTAACATGGTGCTCCCGACCTGGAACCACGTGCTTTCACGTGTCCAGGTCATTCAGGGGGTATCTAACATGGGCCTCCTGGATTCCTTCCTGGGACTCGGAGCGGAACGCCGAGAGATTATGTGTAGTTGGTATCGATTCGTTGATTTGTTTGCCTCCAAGCGCCTCTGGGCGTTCCTGGGCCCTCCTGCGCCCAAGGCGACCGTATGTTAGATATTCCCCCCTGGGTGGGCTGGACCACGTGATTTTACGTGTGCAGGCCACCCAGGGGGGTATCTAACATGGTGGTCCCGAGCTGGAGCCATATGTTTGTACATGTCCAGGTCATCCAGGGGGATGTCTAACATGGTTGTCCCGACCTTGAACCACGTGTCTTTACGTATCCAGGCCACCCAAAAGGTATCTAACATGATTTTCCTGAGCAAGGACCAAGTGTTTTAACTTGTCCAGTCTACTCAGGGGTGTATTTAAGAAAGTGCCCGAGCTGGCACCAGGTGTTTGTAAGTGTCCAAGCAATACACGGGGATATCTAACATGTCTGTCCCGAGCAAAGACTACGTATTTTAACGTTCCGTAGCGTGTCCCCTTGGCACATCTCATGGCACGTCCCGTGGGTCCCCTGGCACGTCCCGTGGCACGCCCATTGGCACTTTCCGTAGCGCGTCCCCTTGGCACGTCCCGCGGTGCGTCCCCATGGCACGTCCCCTGGCACGTCGCCTGGCGCGTTCCTTCAGCCGTTCCGCGGCGCGTCCTCCTGGCATGCCCCCCCGTTAATTTGCTCTGGGGCAGCTCCTATGTGCTGAGACAGCTCGAACATAAGATCCAGGTCAGTTCGGTCAGGACTCGGATGCAAACGAGGACTCGATCCACAACGCTATAGAACACACTCGCGGCATGGCACATCGCAAATCAGCACGGCGCAACACAGCACAGCCCTCGGCACGGTACATCAAGATCGATACACTTAGCATTGCAACCTGGCACGTTCCCTGGCACGTTCCGTGGGGCGTTCCGTGGCGAGTCCCCCTGGCACGTCGCATGGCGCGTCCCCTGGCACATCCCGTGGCACGTTCATTGGCATGTTCCGTAGCGCGTGCCCTCGGCACGTCCCGCGGAGCGTCCCCGTGGCACGTCCCCTGGCACGTCGCCTGGCGCGTCCCTTGGGACGTTCCCCGGCGCGTCCTCCTGGCATGTCCCCCTGTCAATTGGCTCTGGGGCAGTTACTATGTGCCCAGGCAGCTCGAGCTCGGATGTGAAGGAGAACTCGATCCACAATGCTATAGAGCACAATCGTGGCATGGCACATCGCAATTCAGTACGGCGCAACATAGCACAACACTCGGCACGGTACCTCAAAACCGATACGGTCAGCATTGCACTTGCCCGTTGCCCAACCACATGTCTTTGAAGCGCTGCCATGCCTTACATTTCTATATTCCTCTCCGGGTTCATGGGTCGATCATGTGTTCTGAATGTGCTGAGGATGTCTCGAGCGAAACGTTTGTTTGGTATTATAGTTTGTTTCTCTCCTGGGGACTAGAATTCAGAGGATGTGGGAGGAGGAGGAGGAGGAGGAGGAGGAGGAGGAGGAGGAGGAGGAGAGGGAGGAGGAGGTATGAGGAGGAGGAGGAGGAGGACGAGGAGGAGGATGTGGAGAAGGAGGAGGAGGGGATATCCTCTGAATTCTAGTCCCCAGGAGTGGGATATGCCTTCGGGGAGCGCTTGTCGCTTCCCCCCGCCCCCCAGGAGGCCCCAGGAGGCTCGAGAAGCGTGAGACCAAATCGTCCCTAACGCCCCAGGGCGGGACAAGCGTGAAAACATATGGGTTCCTAACGCCACAGGGAGGGAGACGCGTGAAACACACATTGGTTCCGAACGCCCCAGGGCGGGACAAGTGTGAAATCGCATTGGGTTCCTAACGCCTCTGGGCGGGACAAGTGTGAAAACACATGGGTTCCTAACGCTCCAGGGCGTGAGAAGCACAACAACACATTGGCTCCTAACGCCCCAGGAGGCCCCAAGAGGCCTCAGGAGGCTTCACGAGGCCCCAGGAGTCATTGTTCTGGATTGGGATATCTGTTCGGGGTGCGCTTTTCGCTCCAGGAGGCCCCAGGAGGTCCTTTTCTGTATTGGGTATGCGTTCGGGGAGCGCTTTTCGCTCCCCACCCACCCCCCAGGAGGCCCCAGGAGGCTCGAGAAGCGTGAAAACATATCGGCTCCTAACACCCTTGGGCGGGACAAGTGTGCAAACACATGGGTTCCTAACGCCCCAGGGCGGAGCAAGCGCGAAAACACATGGGTTGCTAACGCCCCAGGGCGGGAGAAACGTGAAAACACATGGGTTCCGAACGCCCTAGGGCGGGAGAAATGTAACAACACATGGGTTCCGAACGCCCCAGGGCGGGAGATACGTGAAAACGCATGGGTTCCTAACGCCCCAGGGCGGGGCAGCCTGAAAACACATGGGTCCCCTGGCACGTCCCGTGGCACGTCCATTGGCACGTTCCGTGGCGCGTCCCCTTGGCACGTCCCGCGGTGCGTCCCCATGGCACGTCCCCTGGCACGTCGCCTGCCGCGTTCCTTCAGACGTTCCGCCGCCTGGCATGTCCCCCTGTTAATTAGCTCTGGGGCAGCTACTATGTGCTGAGGCAGCTCGAACATAAGATCCAGATCAGTTCGGTCAGGACTCGATGCAAAAGAGGACTCGATCCACAACACTATAAAGCACAACCGCGGCATGGCACATCGCAATCCAGCACGGCGCAGCACAGCACAGCCCTTGGCACGGTACATCAAGATCGATACACTCAGCATTGCACTTGCCCGTCGCCCAATCAGGTGTCTTTGAAAACGCTGCCACGCCTTACATTTCTATATTCCTTTCCGGGTTCGTGGTTCGATCATGTTGAGCCTCCTGGGAAGCCCTCGTCGCCACGGCCGGATTCGCCTCGGAATCCTGGTCGGAACGCACCCTGGGAGAGGTCGGTCCGGGGAGTAGCGGGATCGGTCCTGTCTTGGGTTCCGTCAGGGACGCGCCCGCTGCCCTCGCGGCCCGTGTCGCCCTCGCGATCTTCGGCAGCTCTCCGGCGTCGGGGGGGGGGATCTGCGACCGACCCAAGCCGAGCATGCTCTTACGCCTCGCTCCGAGCGAGCCACTACCCTTTCCCCCCGTCCGAGGGCTCCCCACTTCGTGCTTCGCGCTGCGCGGAGCGCGAAGTGCGAACAACTCCGCGCTCTCGCGCCGCCTCCCAGGGGAGGAGAGGAGGACGAGAGGAGGAATCGGAGCCCAACCGCGAAGCGCGAATAACTTCGCGCCCTCGAGAGGCGCCCCGTCAGTCCCCCAGCGCCTCTGCCGAGAGGCCGCCGTGGCGGCCCGGCGCTCGGCGGGGCTGCCGCCTGCGGGCGTGCGGCCGGCGGGCCGCCACCGCAGCGGCGGCGTGCTCCTGCAGGAAGTCCGCGGCGTGCGCGTGGAACTCGCGGGGCCGGGGGCTGTTGTGGCCGCCGCCGAGCGTCACGAGCTCGCGCTCCTGGCGGGCAAAGCGTGTCGGCGGGCGGGGCAGAACGAGCGAACGAGGGAACCGGCTCAGCGGACAGTCGTCTGGCCCGAGCTAAGACCGGGTGCGTCGGGTGGAGCCCAAGTCTCTTTGAGACCACATTGCGCGCGTCATGTGGGTGGGTGGGTGGGTGGGTGGGTGGGTTCGCTGGCACATATCATAACACAATCGTGCCCGGCCGAAAGGGCTCCGACCCAATGTTCTCATTTAGAGGTTTACCCCCCGGCCCCGACGGCTGTAGAGTCGGCAGAATTATTTACGATAAACTACGAAGTATAACTGCGAATTTGCACTTGAACAATTGCGTCTTTCGCGTGCCCGCTCGAGGACAATTTGCCCCCCATCTCGGATCCTCGATAAATACCAAGGTCCGCAGACCACCGCTTTCCTTTGTGAAAAAGAATGTGCGGGGCATTTTTAGCGGAATCCGCGGAACAAAAACAAGGTCTGGAGCCCCGACCGCGACGCGGAAAAGCGTCCCGCGCGCAGGAATTTCGAGGATGTCTCGACTAATTCGCTAGTTTTTCCAGGATTTCCTTGGCCACGCAGGGGGTATCTAACATGTTCTGCCCGAGCTGGAACCACGTCGCTTCACGTGTCCAGGGCACCCAAGTGGCTATCTAACATGGTGGTCCCGCGCTGGATTATGTTTTCCCGTGTCCAGGCCACACAGGTGGGTACCTAACATGGTGGTCGCGCGCTGGAGCCACGTGTTTTCACGTGTACAGGCCACCCAGATGGGTATCGAACATGTTGGTCCCGAGCTGGAACCACGTGTTTCACCTGTCGAGGCCACCAAGGGGGTGTCTAAGATGGTGGTCCCGCGCTGGAACCACGTGTTTTCACATGCCCATGTCGCCCACAAGATGTATCTAACATGGTGGCCCCGCGCTGGAACCGCGTGTTTTCACGTGTCCACGCCACCCAAGGGGGTTATCTAGCATGGTGGTCCTGAGCTGGAGCCACGTGCTTTTACGTGTCCAAACCACCCATGAAGTATCTAACATGGTGGTCCCGAACTGGAACCATGTGTTTTCACATGCCCAGGCCACCCAGGGGGTATCTAACATGGTGGTCCCGCGCTGGAACCACGGTGTTCACGTGTGCAGGCCACCCATGTGGGTATCTGGTGGTCCCGAGCTGGAGCCACACGATTTTGCGTGTCCACGCCACCCAACAGAAGTATCTAACTTGGTGGTCCTGCGCTGGAACCGTGTGTTTTCACGTGTCCAGGCCACCTAGAGGGGGTATCTAACATGGTGGTCCCGAGCTGGAACCACGTGTTTTCACGCCACTCAGGGGGTATCTACCATGGGACTCTTGGATCCTTCCTGGGATTCGGAACGGAACGTCGAGAGTTTATTCGTATGTGGTATCGGTTCGTTGACTTTTTGGCCTCCAGGCGCCTCTGGGCGTTCCTGGGCCCTCCTGCGCTCCAGACGACCGCATGTTAGATAATTATCCCCCCCCAGGGTTGGCTGGACCACGAGTTCTTTACATGCGCAGGCCACCCACGGGGGGTATGTAACATGGTGGTCCCGAGCTGGAACCATGTGTTTTTACATGTCCAGGCCACCCAGGGGGATATCTAACATGGTGGCCCCGAACTTGAATCATGTGTTTTGACGTGTCCAGGCCACCCGAGGGAGTATCTAACATGATTGTTCTGAGCAAGGACCTCGTGTTGTAACGTGTCCATGGTAGTCAGGGGTGTATCTAACATGGTTTCCCGAGCTGGCACCATGTGTTTCTGGGTGTCCAGGCCATCCAAGGTCGGCACGTCCCGCGGTGCGTCCCCGTGGCACGTCTCCTGGCACGTCGCCTGGCGCGTCCCTTGGGACGTTCCGTGGCGCGTCCTCCTGGCATGGTCCCCTGTCAATTAGCTCTGGGGCAGCTACGATGTGTTCAGGCAGCTCGAGCTTAAGATCCATATCAGTTCAGTCAGGACTCGGATGCACAGGAGGACTCGATCCACAACGCTACAGAGCAAAATCGCGGCATGGCGCATCGCAGTTCAGCACGGCGCTGCACAGCACAACACTCGGCACGGTACATCGAGATCGATACACTCAACATTGCAACCTGGCACATTCCCTGGCACGTTCCGTGGTGCGTCCCGTGGCGAGTCCCCCTGGCACGTCCATTGGCACGATCCGTAGCGCGTGCCCTCGGCACGTCCCGCGGTGCGTCCCCGTGGCACGTCCCCTGCCACGTCGCCTGGCGCGTCCATTGGGACGTTCCGTGGCGCGTCCTCCTGGCCCCAAGACGCCCCCAGGATGCCCCCAAGAGGCTCCCAAGAGACCCCCAAGAGGCCCCAAGATACCCTCAAGAGACCCCCAGAGGCACCCAAGATGCTCCAAGAGGCCCCAGCGAGAATGCCAAATCATTGATTATACGAAGGTTTTAGCCACATGTTGGCCTCTGGGGGGGGGCACTGATTAAGATGACTCCAAGAGCGCCTGGAAGAGCCCACGATGCCCTCCAAGAGGGCTCAAAATATCCCAAGATGTAAGATGTCTCATAATGGCTTCCTCTGTGTGCTGCCCATTTCCCTGATCGAGGCAATTCCTCTGGGCATCGTTACTGGATGGGCTGGTGGGGATTCGCGAAGCGTCAGCATTTCCTTTGGCCATCTGCCAACTGATTCGCTCAGCTCTGCTGACGGCGAACGGCTCGAATGAGACAATCCCTGCGATTGTCCACAGCACGCGCAACAGTGCCTATACGAGGGGCCCCACGCGGGAGACCACGAGCCACCAACTCCGGATCCCGTAGGGCCCGCGCCCGGCCTCAGACTTCGGCACGTTGTGGAATACCCCACGGCTCGTGCAGTTGTGCGGGGTCGAAGGACATACGCACATCTGTATGTGTGTACATATGTACACACATAGAAGCGCGCGCGCTACGCGCGCGCGCGCGCTCAGGTTCCAGCCGACGGTACAATCGCACTCGGGTCCACGAACCCCAAGATACCAACGGCGATGCCGCCCAGGCAAGGGCCGCTCTTGGCGCGCGGAGGTGCTGGGCCTCGTGGCGGACAGCTTCGGCTCTTGCGCGGTCGCGGAGTCGTGTGACATCGACCTGCGACGCGTCGGAAGGCTCTGAGTGTTTCCCGAACAGGAATGCCGCGGCGGCCGACGTTGGCAACGAGGGCGTCCCAGAAGGCCCAAGAAGAACAAAAAGAGGCAAAAGCAGCGACTGGTGGTTCTCGGGTCGTAGCTCGGGACTCCAGCGGCGGCTTTCGAGACGATCTGGGCACCCTCGGAACGCCCTCGGCGAGGCGCAACTGCTGGATGGCACCCCGAGGCCAGACAACCGCCGAAGGCCGACGAACACGCGCGAAAATCTCGAGCGTGCGGAAGGGCAGCGGTAGCGGTGCCTCCTCCCCCTGCCGACGACCGGCGAACACGAGGCATAGGTCGCCGCAGGCCGCAGGCCGCCGCACCCCGTAAAACAGGGCTAGGATCGGGATAAATCGCTCCAGAGCGCTCTCAGAGCGTTCCAGAACGCTCTGGAGCGGCCGCGGCGCCCAATACCCTCCAAACCCGCCGATTCTCAGAGATTTCGAGTTATCCCGATCCGATTTTGTCCCGATCTTCGCGTCGTTTTACCCCGCCGCAGGTGGCAGGTCGCGTGCCGCAGATCGCCGCACCTCGCGGGGGGCCTCCGACGACCGGCGACGCGCGACCGACGGGTGGACGGCGACGGCCGGCGGCGACGGCCGGCGGCAGACCGCCGCAGGGCCGGGCGCGCGGGCGGCCCGCCTCGCCAGCCCAGGCGTCGTGGAGCGCCTCCGTGCTGCGCGGAGGGCGCGGGCGCCGAAGGGCGGCCGCGATGACGACGTCGACGCCGACGTCGACGCCGACGTCGTCGTCGTCGTCGTCGTCGCCGACGACGACGACAACGACGCCGTCGCCACCGTCGACGCCGTCCACTCCGTTGTCGTCGTCGTCATGACCGTCGCCCCATTTCGTCCTCGTCGTCATCGTTGTCGTAGTCGTCCGCTCCGTTGTTGTCGTCGTCGTCGTCGTCGTCGTCGTCGTCTCCATCGGGGGGAATGACGCCGACCAGCGAAAGACGACGGCCGACTGCGACGGGGGAGGCGAGGGAGACGTCGGCCGCTGGAAGGCCTGTGCGGAAGAGGGTTGGAGAGAGAGAGAGGGAGAGAGTGTGGACGAGAGAAACAAAGGGAGGGAACGAGAGAGGGATGGAGGGAATGCGCGTGTGCACACACGGAAGGGAAATTGACCAAACGGTAGGAGGGAGAGAGAGAGAGAGAGATTCATATCTATGTATGTGTATATATATATGTATGTGTCTATAAAGGAGAGGAAGGGAGAAAGAGAAAGAGAGAGAGAGAGAGAGACTGAGAGAACAAATATGGCGCAGTGGAGGTGAACTGTCTTCCCAGTCCTTCGTGAACTGTCCTCCTCCTCCTCCTCCTTCTCCTCCTCCTCCTCCTCCTCCTAATCCTCCCCCTTTTTCCCATCTGGCTCGAGGCCGCACGACGGCATGCCGTGGCGAACCTTCTGAAGAGAAGCGCGGGGGGCAGCCCGCGCCCCGAATGACGGGGACTACTCCGCGAGTCGCCGGGCCCCCCCCCCCGGGGGGTCGCCAGAGTTGGCGGGATGCAACTGGGGGGATACTGCAGGTCCGTGTCGTGACGACCCCAGCGTTGGTTTCTGACGCCGCGTGGATCGTTCAACCTTGAACGATCGGCGGCTGGTCGATCGCCCGATCGTTCCGTATAGGTTGATTCTGGGTCGCTGGCGGCGTTCAACCTTGAACTCCCGCGCTGGGGTCGCCGCGAGTCGACACGACGAAAACCTACCGTAAGTCCAGATGGGGAGGGAGGCGCAAACGAGGTGCAAATTGTACCTACGCCCCACGGAGAAGGTAAAATTTGTACCGACGCCACGCAGACAAGGTACAACATTGTACTTTTGACAACGTCCGCGACGTGTGCGAGGATGTTAACAGGGAGGGAGAAGGCACAATCTGTACTTGCAACCCGCAGAGAAGGTACAAATTGTACCCCAACAAAGCGGTACTGGATACTCATCCCCCCATGTCCTGATTCCCCCATCGCCATCGCCGACAGAGGCTCGCGATGCCGTGCGACGCTGTGCCGGTCATGCTCTGCGGTGAAATTCCGTGGTGCGCCAAACTGTGCTGTGCTGTCCAATTCCATGCTGTGGTGTGCTACGTACTGCGGCACCATGATAGGCGATGCTGTTCCATGCCGTTGCGTGCTTCGTGGTGCGATGGCGTGCGCAAGTACTGCGTTATGCTGGTGAGGTGCGATGTAATCATGTTTGCCGTGTCGTCCAATCGGGTCAGTGCCATGGTAGATGAGGTGTGGTATGCTACAAGTTGCATCGCGACGCGCTCCGTTGCGTTGGAACGGCGTGCCTTCAGGACGACCCTGCGATTGGTGTCACGCCCGATTCGCTCAAACAAATAACGGTCGAACCATGAGCCATCGTGATGACACGCGGGTAGAAGTCCTGCTTCCTCCTTCCTCCTCCTCCTCCTCCTGCGTCTGCTCCTCCTCCTCCACCTCCTCTCCCTCGTCCTCGGCATCGTGCTCGTCCTCCTCCTTCTCCTCCTCCTCCCTCCTGACTCCTCCTCCCCCCTCCTCCCTCCTCCCTCCTCCCTCCTCCTCCTCCTCCTCCTCCTCCTCGCTCGCTCGCTACCTAAGGGCCAAAGGGGTTCGAAGCCCTTGCATACAAGGGAAAGAGGAAGGCGAAGACAGCGCCCCCTAACGTGCACGTGCAGGAGAGGGGGGGAGAGGGGTGAAACGGAGAGCTCAAGTGTCACCATCCACAGACCTGGACGAAGCCTGGGCCAGGACACTGGAGGCCAAACCGTACGCCGAACATGGAAGCCTGCCAGCATCACTCCTGCGGGCAGCCGCGTGTCCGCACCTGTGGGGACACCTCCCCCTGCAAATCCCAGGCTGGAACGCGTCCAAGGAGACCCCAGGCGAGGCGACAACGAGGGTGGGGAACAAAAAAGGGGATCCAAAGGTGCACAAGTCAACATCACAATGCTGAATCCCAGGGGCCTTTGTCCGACCTCGCACCTCAGGCAACTCATGAACGGCAGGATCAGAGAAGTCACGAGAGATGGGCAGGAAGAGGAGGAATGGCACGCAGCAGTGCAGACAATCAAATGCAATCTGCACGGAGGCCTGCACCTGACAGTTCTGATTCGTGATCCACTCAACGTCCCTTTGTTGTACTCCCCTAGCACACCAGGGCGCCGAGCGCGTTCGAACCTGTCTGGCTCGTCTGGTTTCCACCAGCGGTCTCCATGAGCTGGCCTCGGGCTCAAGGAGAACGGCCGCCACTTCACCAGCAAAGATCCTCCTCCTCACATCCCCAAGATCCTCCAGAGACGAGGGGGTGCAATCAAAGAGGCAGGACAGGGGGCGAGAGGAGGCAGAGGGGAGAGCAGCCGTCATGACCGTACGTTCTAAATTCCATTGGACCGTGCAAGGGTGTCCCCAATAGCATAGCTGAGCATTGCTTCGCACAGGCACGGGCCTAGGCAGCCAAGACACACAGGTCGGGAAATCCACGGCAGGGATGGCAACACTCGGAAGTTCGACGGGCAAGTCGGGTCTGATTCGAACGAGGGGACGGAAGGGGGGTCCTGATACACGCTGCGCAGGCACGTCGGCAAAGGTGTCTCCTTTGCCTCTGCGGCGGTTTGCACCTGCAACGGCCTTGCGATTCACAATAGCTTGGTCAAGCTCGGTCTGCGTGGGTCGCAGCGGCGATGCGATCCAAGTGGAGAAGCACGATTGGGCTCTATGCAAGTGCTTCACCAGCCTGTTCTCATCCCAGAACTGCCAGCAACAAAAGGGGCACATAGTGCCCGTGGCAACCATCTCGGGCGTCTCGGGGGGACGGTGCGATTTCTTGAGATGAATCCTGAGCATTCTGGCGCTGCGCGCCAGGTGCCCACACTCATAGCACACAAAGCCCATGCACGGGGACGGCGGAGCATGCGCAGCCTCGACATACTGACCCCTTGACGGTTCATCAGGACTGCCCAACGGTGCACGCATAAAGGCGAGAGCGTTAGAGTCCCCTGCCGAAGGGCTGTTGGCCGCACCAAGTGCGCCAACACGGTCCTGTGAACCTGCCAAGTGGGGCGAGCCACTGATGTCGATGGACTGCGAGTGTACCAGCACGTCGTCGTCGCTACGTCGTAACCACATCTCTCGCTGTATGATGTGCTCGAGGCCTATCTTGGTGAGCGACTGTATCAGTTTGCGTCCCCACGTGGCTACAGTTCCATTCACCTTCCAGATCCGCCTGGCTGCTGCAGCAGCCTGTGTGACGAAAGAAAGAAACTCAGCTTTGGATTCTCTGGCTAACCTTATAAGGGATGTGTCGTCAGATCCATACGCATCTTCCCCACCGTTGTGAAATCTCCTCATCCACTTTAAATCGCACCTCAGCCTAGCACACCAGCCGATGTCCCATGTGAAGTCGAGCATCTGGCGTAACAGTGGCGAGGATGCATGTAAAATCCTTGGCAAAAAACCGCAAACGCGCAATTGATAACACTTGCTGCAACGGCAGCCGATCTACTCTGATGAGTGTGTCAGTCATAGCAGCATGAATTTCACTTGAGTTGGTGATCCCCATATTGAGTGCCGTCCTATAAATGCTAAGATGACCAGTGCAGGCTTTGGCCTCCAGATACTTGGGCATGGCATCCCACGTACACGCTGCAAATAAAAACTTTGAACCAGCATATGCCTCCGAATACCTGACTTTGTGTATTGAGTCCAAGGCATTACAGGATGCGACAACTCTCTTGATAGGTCTGAGTGCGGTGCGCACAGACCTAACTCTTTCAATAATCTCATCTGCCATGGTGGCCTTGTCGTTGACCCTGGCACCAAGAACTTTATGCGTCCTTGCAACTGGCAACTGAAAACCAAAATCTGAGCTGAATAGCGCAGCGCCATCTTTTTTGTGAAATGTTTGGGCCATGCGACGAGAATGCTGTCCACGAAAGGTCATGAGTGCCGCAGTTTTGCTCCAGTTGATTTTGAAACCATGGCTCGAAGCATGAATGTGAATGACTTCAGCTGTCCGAAGCACCTGTGCTGGAAGCTCCGTGGCCTGGGAGGCCGTGAGCGCAGTCAAGTCGTCAACAGAAGATGTGCAAGCGTGTGTGTTCATTCTATCTTCATTTGAGCAGAAATTGGCTACTGACTCAGGTGGCTCCCACACTAACTGCTCACTCTTCATCTGGGTTTCGATCTTCGACTGCAGTCTAGCGAAGAGCGTGTTGAAAACGTCAGTAGCAGGAACAGTGCCTGGCCTGCAACCCCTGCCCGAAAGAGCGAAGCACGATGATCCTCGCACTCTCCAGAAACTCCCCGTCTGGCTTTCCCTCACCATCTGAAGCAAGTGCGGCGGCATGCCGACGTCATCCAGAGGTGCCTGCGACGCAAGCTCAGCCTCTAGACCGGCCGTAAGGAAGGGGGTCATTTCAAGATCCAGGAGCGCATCTTCGAGCCTATGGGTCTCGGAGGGCAGGGAAAGGCAAAGCTGCTTGAGGGCCGAGTAAAACGCAGCATGAAGGTCAACGAAAACTCCTCCAGCTGACAAAGAGACCACCCCTGTCGCGGTCCAGAACTGCCGCACCATGAGTATGGCCCCTTCTAGGCCACGGCCTGGTAATCCTCCACACTGAGTCGCAAGGAGAGCCTTGTAAACAAAACAAAGAGACTGTTGTCTCAGTAGCTTGTGATGGAGTTTGCCGA